GTTTCTATTTAGTATTGATTTTTTTCTTCATTTTCCTCAAAAGTCTATTGTCTTCATTACTTTAATGGACCTTTCAAGAAAGTATAAAAGACCTAGACTTCTGTTACTGTTAGCTCATTTTGCCTAAAATGGAGAATTAGCTCAGAATTATATTTATTTTCATTTTTCAAGGGATAGTCACATTACAAGCAAACTATTTTCCTATGAATGCCACTGGAGTTTACCATATTCTTCAGTGGGATGGAAAGGGGTAGCAAATTGCATATATCATTTTCAATTTCAATTCACTGCCTGTGGATGTCTTTAAAATTGTATTTTTTGAAATTGAAGTATGCCTATCTTTTATATCTCTTTTTAATCTGAGTGTCGATGTTTTCCTTTGTGCTTGGATGGGGTGGGGGAATAGAAAAGGATGTGGTGTAGCAGAAAGAGCTTGGATTTTACAACCTGGCTAATACACTCCACAGAAATCCCAGACCCACCAGCTTACTGGGTAAGGAACTTTGAGAAAGTTACTTCATTTCTCTGAGATTCCATCATATTTAAACAGATAACAAAGGAAACACCTAATCGTGCTTGACATATGTTCAAGATCTAACATACTGTGCACTTTACGTTAATAGAGATATAAGATTAAGTTGTACAGACTTTGACATGTAAACTCTGTATAATTTGGCACCAAAAGATCCACGCAGAATAAATTGTAGGTTTCACAAGTGAGGCTCCCAGGCCGTTAAGCCAATATTTGAACAATTGTTTCTTTCAACCCAGAATACGTTGAGAAATTAAAATCTATTCCATTTAGTTCTATTTGCCAACATGCAATCAATTAATTGAATAGAAAGTTCTCATACCTGTGACAGGATATCTATTTCATATGTCATATATAAATTGCTGATTTCCAGCTAAAATGAATATACCCACTAATTTACCAGAAGCTTTAATGTTAAAAGAGATAAGTGTTGTGGAACCTTATGAGTTAATCACAATCTTGGGGGCATTCTTTTTTTTGGGGGGGGAGCATTCTTTAGCATTACTAGGTTAGAGCAGGTCAACATCAGAGAGAACTGTATTCTACTATTAAGAAATGCATTTCTTATTCGCTTTATACTGATTCTTTAAGTAATTAGTATATATATTACTTTTCTTTATCTTCTGTTTAGAAGATTATGGTGGACAAATCATTTTATATTCTTTTAAGAAAAAAAGAGTTTTGGATTACCACGTTATTAATTTTACTTAGAATTTGTCTTAGAATTACTGAATTCTTCTCTTTTACATATAAAATACACATCAGTTAATAGTTTGTAGAGATTTCAGTGTCAGTACTATTTTTACAGATTCCAATTTTATAAATAAGCTCCAAGCTTCTAGTCGAAACTATATAGTATGTGCTATATTTGTGATATACATGTGCCTACCATGGGACACAGTAACTGATAAGTAGCAAGAATTACCAATAACTAAAAATAACTGAAGGAAAATTTATGAATACCTTAATGAACTTCTCTTCAATATTAATGCAGTTAATGATGCTTTGACTTCAAAAGTGTCAGATTTAGCAGTGGGGAAAAATAACAAAAACTTTATAAATGGATAACAATGATTAGGATAAAAGTAGATACTTTGTGTTTAGCTGATTTCCTTTGGCTCAAGTAGTTCACAAGACCAAATCAAAATTACTCCGAATTTTCACTAAGTAACCAATCATTAATCTTAGCTGGGGAGAAGTGGGCAAAAGTAACTTTGATAATACTGAGTTTTATTGATTTTTCTCTTCATTTTTTGGAGCTTGATCTTTAGATCAGTGTGGAGGAGTTTACTCTTAAGATAACAGAAAATATTGGTTAGGTCATAGATGAAAAATGTGTTAAGTTTTTCATCCAGGAAAACATAATGTCATAGATGGATAAATGAAATAATTTCCAAGAAAATTTTACCATTTAGTATTTCATGGACTTCTTTGTACTTTCTGGTATTTTACTACATGGAAATAAGGAGAAAACAATTTGTAGGTATGCAAATAGTAAAGATTAATTGAAAAAACTGAGGAATAAATCAAGCAAGTAAGGGTTTTACAAAGACAACTTTTTAAAACTTTTTTAAAAACAATTTTGTTATCATTTCTTATAATAACAAAAAGCAATTTTGCTATCATTTCTTATAATAACAAAAGCATGCTGCAATCCTGCTGTCTTGCCAGATTTTTTAAGACCATTAATCTGAAAAAAAAAAAAAACATTATCTTGGATTGTTCTACGTGAGAAAGAGCTCAAGGTGAATGTTAGGGAAATATGAAGTGACAAATTTGTCATTGTGGATTGGATGTAACTTGTGCCTAACGCAACTTTAGGGGGAAGAAACATTGAGAACGGAAGATATCCTTGAAGTAATTGAGAAGGAAGGAGACTCGATTGCAGTGATCCTGTTCGGTGGGCTGCATTTTTACACTGGACAGCTCTTTAATATACCTGCCATCACAAGAGCTGGACAAGCAAAGGTATGCATGTCATTTTTTCCTTCCCATCTTGCCCAAAGCATCACTTTACTGGAGTATTCTAATTGCATTTCTAGTGAAATACCTTTGTGTGTGTCTGTGTAAAATTATTTAAAGAGTTAAAAAAAAAAGCAAGCCTTACATTAAAAAAATAATAATCTGTTTTGCTTTAGGCATCTCCATTTAAACCTCTTTTTGTCGCTTCTGTTTCACTTCTTCACTTCTGTTTGCTGTCCCAAAGTTTGCCTCTAATCAGCAGGACAGGTGAGCTTCCTGCAGGTGATGTCATTGGTACTGGGTTAGTCTGTCAGCAGAATATGCCAGATAATAACCGCATATGCTAAGACTGTTAGAAACACAACTCTGGTACTTTGTCATTTTATATATAACTCATTCTGAATGTAATTCAGTTGTCACTTAACATTAGGTGCCTGAAGAAAGGGAGATGCAGAAATAAAAGTAAACAGTAGATTGAGTTTTTCAGTGTACTTTAAAAAGCCACTTCGTTTTTAAGACTTGAGAAATTGTGATGCTGTCAATAACGAGAGTTTTTCCCTATATATTACTAACTCACACTTATGTTGTTTACTATTTTGAAATCATGTCTGTTTATATATGTTCGTTAAAAAAAAAGTGTTTTTAGTGTTTATTTGCCTGAAAAAAGAAATCAGAGAAACAATGTTCAACGGCTACCATTTGTATTCAAAATCCTTAAATAACAGTTCTATTTGATTCAGCAATGAAATTATGTATTTAAAAAGGTGACAATCGAATTTTATTCTGAACATTAATAAGTTATGGGATTAATATATGTGTGAAGTCTAGTTAATATATTCAGTTATTGAAGCTAATGAATAGAACTAATGAAAAGAAATTTAGCACCGTTATCAGCAGTCTCTAGGAATTTTCAACCACGACTTCCAACTGGTTTGATGGATAACTGTGAAAGTGGTGCATTACAAAAGATATAAAGATAATGTCTTCTTAATTTAGGCATTAAGTGTTAAATGCCAAAATAAAGGGGAGGTCAATAAAAAATTATATTTTAAAATGTTATGCAAGTAATCAACAGTCTCCGATCCCCGTAGTATACGTGCATGTCTCATTAACTCTCATTGAAATGAGGCAGGGAGATAGAGAAGAAAGACCATGGGCTTTTGGATCACAGTCTGGTTTAAATCTTGGCTAGGTCATTTAATTGTTATATGATGTCGGGCAAGTTACTTGACTTTTCTGGGCCTCTTTTCACAAGTGTTAATTTGGGATAGCAGGGCCCACTTCATAAATTCCGTGTCGAGGAGAAAGAATATAAAATATCCACAATCTTGCACACATTCTGCCATTTAGTGAGGGATTCCTCACAACTTTACCGTCCTCAGCAAATACGAAGGCATGGAAAGTGGTTCAGGTACCCATTTTCTCTCATTGCCTACTGAAAAGCAAAATGAATTTGTTTACTTAGGTGCTGTATGTGATTCTCATTCTTGACTACTTTGTTTGCTAAAGCATTCTCTCCGTATTTTGCAGGCTTTCTTTTACTTAAAAAGTAAAATAAATGCCTACCATGTGAAACTCTCACTGACCTTTCAGTCAAATGAAGGCAGGAAAGAGCAGTTCCGTCTCAATGTAACTGCACAGATGTGACGGATACCATGGGAGTGAAATGGTGATTGAGTAGACTTCAATTTATCCATTATCAAAATTATTCTAACACTCATTTATACTCTTGCTAGACAATTTCTCCCACTCCCAATGGAGGTTGAAAAAGTTATTTAAAATGTAGACTTACATAGCTCTCTTGGGTGGTCTATAAAGATAAAGCTGAAGAGAAAGGCAGAGAGAAAATTAAAGGTGTCAATCAAAAAAGAGTTAGGAAATTCTAGAAAAAAAAAGGCATAAAAAAATCACTGTTAGAAATGGCTAAAAAAGATTAAAAAAAAAAAAGGAAAGTTTCCAGAAATGAAGTATGGCAGGAATGAAAATGATATTGGGATGGAGCAATGGAAGTCAATAAGAAGAATTTTTATTTCATAATCATGTGAGAGGCAAGTGGGAACGGGAATTCTGAAAAATATATTAATTAAAGAAATGCACACATACTGAAAAGAACACAAATAATCAGTAAGTGGTTTGGTGAATTATTTTGAGCCCTTATAACCATCACCCACATCAAGAAACTTCTAGAACATTTATACCACTCAGAATCCTTAATTGTGCCTTCTCTCAAATGCTGTTACCTCCCCTCAAATGTACCACTGCTGACCTGTAGCCATATATATAACTTTGTCCATCTATAAATGTGTTAATATGTATTCTAGCAGTAGTTTTGTGGGGGCTTTTTTGGTAGAAGTTTCGTTTTTCTTTTCATTTCAGTGTATTGTTTCAGTGTATGAAATAGACTACAATTTATTTTCGTTTTCCATTCTCATCAGGATAGATATTTGGGGTTTATTTCCATTTGAGGGCTATTGCAATAAATGCTACTCTAAACATTCTCATACATTTTTAAGTAAGCATTCACACTGATTTCTGTAAAGTCTATACTTTGGATTGGAAATCTTGGAGATAAGGTATACATATGTATGCTTAATCCTAATCAATAATACCAACTTTCTGAAAGGTTGTGCCAATTTGGTATATACTTCCCATGAGCATACATGAGAATGTCTGTTGCTCTATGTCCTCACTGATTTTATAATTTAATGCATTGTAGTTTTAATTTGCATTTCCCTGACTACTGATGAAGTTGGCATCTTTCAAATGTGTTATTGCCTTCTGAATATCTTCTTTCATGAAATGCTTGTTCACATGTCTTGCCCAATTTGCATTTGGTTTTCTGTGTTTCATTATTTGGTTGTAGGTGGTATAGAAATGGATTCTGAGGAATAGAAAAACGACAAGATTTCCAGTGATCATCTAAAAGAAAAATTAATTAGAAGAACAGTTTTGATACAGATAATGAATCTCTGATGCTGAGGCTTTTCTTAGATGAGAAGGCCTAAGACAGTGACATGTGTAGTAGGCCAAAGAAAATTGACCATAGCATCAGATTATAAGGGAAGGCCAGCATATGAGAAGACACATTAGTTTGAAGACACATTTTCATTTTTTGTCTTTGAAGCCATTTACTGTATTTTAGATTATTGGCCAACCCATTCTGCCTTACTTCCCTATTTCTAAATTTTTCGTATTCTATTACTTGTTTGTACTAATCACTCACTGCCAAAATTTTTTTCTCATTGCCAAGTGAAAGCTACAGTGTACTCCCACCTTCGAAAATTGTTATTTACGTTCATCCTATTACAACTGGAAATCCTACATCCATTCTGAAATCAGTATGCTCTAGTTTCGTCTCCCCATTAAAGTGACCCTAATATTTCATGCCACCACCTTTCTGGACCTTTTGACTCAATTCTGACACTTTCTTCTCCTTTGCCTTTTCAACGAGTCACTTCTTAATTCCACCCTCCCAGATTTGGTCTATTCTTAATATTCCTAAATCAATTATGAAGTTGTTAAGCTTTAAAAACAAAATCCCAGTGAGAAAGTAGTCAAAGATTAGGGATTTCTTTTTTTCTTTATAAGATTTGAGTTAGGAGGCTGCTGGGATGCAGTAAGAAGTTGAGTAATATCTGAGTGGCATCTCCACGGTTCTTTTGGTTTTTTTCTCAGGCTTCTCACATCGCGGTCACAAGACAGTTGTCCCAAATCCAGATATCACAATTCTATTTAAGGCAAAGAGAAGGAAGGAGGGAGAAGTAGCAGAGCCGCTTCATCTGTCCCTTTCATCCAAAGTGCAAAATTATTCCCAGAAAAAGCTAGCAGATTCCTGCTTATGATTCATTGCCTTCTGAAGTGGTAGCTTCAAAAGAGCATGAGTAAAGAAATTTTTAACCTTTATGGTCTTATAGTAGAGACAAGTTTAGGTTCACCAACCCACAGTATTTTTTACATTTCCCATTTTTACTCAAATGAAAAATCATTGTTTCTAACTTTTTTCCTCTTTCCTCTTCCATCTCTTGCCTAATTTTTAATTTTCCTCTTTTTTTCTTCCTTTCTTCCCTATTTCTTTCTTAATTTGCATTTTATTTTCCACCTCACTTCACAAATCATTTGAAAACAATTCACAGGAAATTGATTAGGCAACATAATGAAATATAAGGGGAGATAATAAAGGGAAAATCCTATGGGGGGTCTATTTAATAGACCCCCCCATAAATGATAATTTCTCAACTTGGATTAAGATAAGAAAAAGATAACAAATATAAATTATTTTCATTAGAAACTCTTAGTGTATTAGGTAGACTAGGTTTTGGTAACAAATAAATAAAGCCATAAATGCTTTTATTGTGATAGATGTTTATTTATTGTTCATGCAGCAGCCAGTAATCAGCTTTCTCCCATGAAATGGTCCAGATTTCCAGTGACTCAAGATTGTGTCCTGAATCCTTTGTCTGGATTCAGCCAAAGGAATGGGATAGAAGGATGGGAATGTGGCATACCAACTACTTAAAAGCATTAGCTTAATCATGGCAAAATTTACTTCTCCTCATTCCACTGACTAACACACGGACGTTTCTGGGAAATGAAGTATATTTGTGCACTTAAGAATAACAATATTAGTTTTCCACACCTGGAACTCAGATGTTTTGTCTTGCTGTTGGAGTAGGATAGTTATTCTGAGATGCAGTGTAGCATTTGCATTAATAAAAATTTTAGATAGTGGAGGTGGGGTCTGACATGATCTTGAGTCCATTGTCTCTCCTTTAGTTTCTAGCATAGTTTGACTAGCTTAATTCACTGACCAGTGTGATTTCATTTCTCCACAAATAATTAGGGAAGATAAGAGTGCCTGTCTCCTAGGAGAACAAACAAGATACTATTCCTGAAACACTTAGTAATTAGTACATGGGAAGTAATCAGTAAATGTTAGCAATTATCAATATATGAGAAAAGACATATTGGAATATCCAGTCTACCAGAAAAAGAAATAATGTATCCTT